CTGCCCCAGAAGGGCAGCCTGCAAGGCGCGCTGCCGGGGTCGGCAACCCGGCGCCCTCCGCAGACTGTGGCCTGCCGCCCCCATCCTGCTTTCCCTCTGGGCTGATGGCGGGGCGGGGGCTCATTGGGTCTGGGGGCTGCCTGCGCTGGGAAAGTCGGCGCCCTGGCGGTCAAGGGAAGGCAGAGCTGAACTGCCCTAAGAGGTGGGCCTGGTTCTTCTTCTTCTTTTTAAATGCCTATTGGAGGAGGGTTGGGGGGGGGTTACAGTGAATCTCGGTTGCTAAGTGGAGCCTCTGGATGGAGAGGCAGTCTACCTTTCAGCAGCAGATGCCCAAAGCATCTTTTCCCACCAGCATCTAATTGCCCTGCGTGACGTGCCAAGTCGGCTTGCACAATGCACGTCGCCTGGTTCCCAAAGGAACCCCTTGGGCGGTTGGCATAGGGCACTGCACCCCCAACAACCCAGAAGGTTTCAGCTGGTCCAATAACTAGCCTAGCCACCCCCTCCTCCTCCCACTGAAGCTTGCCTAATCTAGCCCGTTGAATGATGGCTTTTAAGGGACCCGGTCCGGCGTGTTGCAGGCGCCCGGCCCTTCTGCATTCCATCCCCGTATTTATCCTTCGTGAGGCCCGCAGCTTCCCACGATGACGGCTTGCTTGTGAGGCAGCCCGGCTGATGCAAGAGCAGAGTCTTGCTGCAGCGACGGGGAAACGGCAGGGGAGCACCCAGACCCACCCTGAAATCATTTGCAAGCCGGCCTGGGTCCCGGAGCGATGGTCTTCGGGTGCCCTCGCCCCCAGAGAAGGATCCTTGGCTCCACCGCGGGGTGGCGCGGCGGAAAAACCCTCTTTTGCCTTGGCACCCGTAGCACCCCCGGACGTGTCTCGGTCTGAACCCCTGTGGGGCTTGTTTCCTCTTCTGGAGAAAAGCTGTTTTTGCAAGGAATTGGGTCCCCAGCCTTCAAGGCTCCTACGGATCGCCACCTGCATTTTGCACTAGGCTTGGAAGTGTCTTTCCACTGCAGTGCAACATGGCTTGTTTTGGCTGCCCCGTTTCTCTTCCCTTGGCCTCGCGCTTCCCGTCGCTGCAGGTTGAAAATCCAGAGGAAAGGCTGAGATTCGAAGGCTGTGTGTGAATGCTGTTGGATGCTCTGATTCCCAAAACAGGGCAGGTTGTGTCGAGGCCCGGTGCCTTTTATTAGCAGCCGAGCACATACGTTGTAAAATGAGCATTTTATAGAAAGTTTTTTCCCCCCCCTTACAAGGGGGGAGAATTTTAGGCCGCCGATTTTCCATCGAGCAAGAAGGGGACACCTGCGCCTCCCTCCAGGTGATGCTGAACTACAACTCCCATGGTGAGAGATGCTGGGACTTGAAGTTCAGCGTTCTAGTCATGGGGGGGACCACAGGTTCCCCCATTTGCGCCCTCGAGCGTCAATGGATGTGCTCAACAACCAGTTGGATCGATGAGAAATAGCATCTTGCTCTGGTGCGTGTATTTAATTTGGGATCCAGAGAAGAGCGACGGTTTCCACTTTATTCTGTGAAAAACAGACGCAGGTGTATTGGGACGGGGAAGGAAAATTAAGCATCGATTTGCTTCTTTCTGAAATTCGAAGAGCTCAGGTTAGCTTTAACAACGTGCAAAAATGTCGGATTGAAGGGGGAGCCCTCCTGGGGGCTTTTCACATTTGCTGTGCTCCTGCCTGGGCTGGCAAGTGTGATCAGGGGGAGGGGTTTGCAAACGGGGTGGGGATGCTGGAAAATAAAACCTGATTAGGAAGTACCCCTGGGTCCAGTTTAAAAGCAGCTTCTCCGCCGGCTTTCATTCCCCAAACAGGTCAGCTATGACGCTGGTGCAAACGGGCCAGCTAACTCTGATGTTCAGAGGCCTGGAAAAACAAATGTGGGTGTGATCAGTCCTGAAGTAACCACAAGCCAAATTTAAGGGTGAGAGATGAGGAGTAGAACTGGGGTGCCCTCTGGCAACTTCACTTTTGTAAATAATCCCTCCCCCCCCCCCCCCGTTTTTCTTCTCAATTACGTGCCTCTTCCTTGTTTATTTCCCTAAGGAAATAAAAGGAGAGAGATGACTAGAAGGAATAGTTGTTTGCCCTGCTAATTTCAGAGATCCGGTTTGTTTGCCTGGAGGCTCCACCGGGGCCCAAAATGGAGCGATCGATTGATCGATTCCTAAATGTTGCCCCCAAGAAAAATAGCACTGCAGTGTTTGGCTCCCTCCTTTGAAGCGTTAGCCGAAACCAGGAAATCGTTTGCCTTTCGTCGGCTGTGAATTAAGGTCCTCTTGAGAGAAGGGAGGTGTTTGTGCTGGGCAAACAACCGCGCAACCAATAACTTTATTTTTCACAAGAAGAGGAACAGGTGGCTTTGGTAACCGGCCGAGCCTGAAACTTGTAAAGCCTGCAAAAAGGTGTGATTTGGACAGCTGGGTTGGCTTTGCTCGAGAAGAAGAAGGGAGGCGGTAGAGTCCTGAACTGGTTGAAAGGGCTGTGCCAGTTTGGACAACGGGCCACGTTTTCTGAATCTTCTCTGATATGGAAAAATCCCCCGAAAGGAGAAGAATTGCACATAGGAATTGGGCTAGCTTTCATCTTGCAAGGAGGCTGTTTCGGCCATAGACGTCTCCCCGGTGTAGCGTGAAGGCCGCAAAGATATTTTTGTCCCTATTTTTTGGCGGGGGGCCTGGGAAACCGGGCCCAAACACCCCTCTGATTCCTAAAATCGGGCTTCCCTTGCAACTTCTTGACGTTTCTCATTTTCGCCTTGGCTTTCCCGTTGCGGGGAGCAAGTGAGCTCTGTGGGCTTGTCACAGTGGCTTGCGGTGAAATGGGGTGCGAAAAAGCCCCGAAGGGCAAAATAAGATTACAGAAAAGAAGTCCGTGAGGACCACAGCAGAGAGTTAAACCTGGACGGGGACAGGGTGATTGCGGAGGGCGTAACGGGGTGTTATCTTCTGCCTCCAGCAAACTACGGCGAGTTGTACCAGTGGTCGGTACAACATTACCCGGATTTCTGGGCAGAATTTTGGAAGTTCAGCGGGATGGTCTGTTCTCGCCTTTACGATGAGGTAAGCTGTTTTGGATCTGAGCCTGGGCTATGTGGAGCAGGTGGTGGATCCACATCATGACAGGTCTTCTCCTGCAGGCTTGGTGAGCAGAGGTTGAAGGGGTCATTCTGATCGTCGAAGAGCAGGTCAAGATCTCCACTTGCCCCCTTTTCAGCCTCATCCTAGGAGGGAGGGAAGGGAGAAGTTCTGTGGATCGCCAACGACGTCACCGTGAAGTTGACTTGGGGTCAAGCTCCACTGAACGTGGTGGACGCAGGTTGTGCTCTTGGCAACGGCACGGAAGGGCGTGTTGACTTTCCAGCCTAGCCTGGGGGTTTCCTAGTAGTCTCCCATCCAAACAGGAGCAGGTTCGACCTTAATGAGCCTTTTCCAGAACAGGGGAAGTTGGAAGGCTCCCCAGGGTTGAGGGCAAGGCTAACTTCGACACTTCTTTGTCGTTTTCTTAGCAGCAAGGCAGCGGCGATCGGCCACTGCCTTCTTCCTAAGCGTTTTTTTTAATGTCCCCGTCCAGTTGGGTTTCCTGGTGGTGTCCCATCCGAGTGGTAACCCAGGCTGATCCTGCTTAGTTTTCCAGGAAAAAAAAATGCATCCGTCTAGCTGGACTTAACGGGGTACCCCAGATGGTGAGGTGGGGCAGAGAAAGACCCTCAGGGTCTTAAGCCTTAGGAACTGCCCTACGTTCGCTGTTAAGGACGTTTGGTGTTTCCTCACCAGGTGATCAATCCTTCCAAGAGCATAGTGGATGTTCCTGAGTGGTTTAAAGGCAGCCGTTTAAACTACGCCGAAAACCTTCTGAAGCACGAGGAGAACGATAAAATTGCCCTGTACGCAGCACGTAAGTAGCCAGTGTGAATCTTAGTTGCAACTGGATTATTGCTAAAATAATGAGATATCTTAATAAAGACCTTCCTCCTTCTCCTTAATATTACTTTAGCAAGAGTGTGGAACTCGTTTCCCAGGGTTATCTTCTAAGGAGTCCCACACTGGTCTCTAGGGTGGGATTTCCTTGTGGTCTCCCATCCACGCCTCCTTTTCATCCTGGTCAAGCATTCCTTCGCCCAGTCTGACAGCTCTTTTGTGGCGGGGGGGCAGGAATACTTTCTGTCTCCAAAAGACCTCTCCCAATGGCTGGGACTGTGTGCGCGCCCCTTCTTCCTTTGGTGTGAATGAATGTCTGAATTCACCCTGAAGAACAAACTGAAGCTGGCTCAGGGATTTGAAAATGGTGGGTGAATCCTGGCTTGTTATATCTGATTGTGGCTGCTCTGTGTTCCTGGCTGACAGTAAGGGGGGAAAATCAACCAGAAGTTGGTTGCACAAGGCTGCAATTATTTTGCAAGGCTGACCGGGCTGGTTCAACCATTTGTGGTTCCAAGAAATGGTGGCTTAACAGTGCATGAGATCTTCCAGGCTTGGGCCTGATCCTCCCAACCCACGAGACCCTACTAGATACCCCCAAGATTCATGGAAGCTGCTTTCCTGCACTCTGTGCTCCTGTTAATTTCTTTTTTATTTGTACCTCTTGCTGCAAACCTGCGACCGGAACGTGTCACCTCTCGATCATTTTTCTCCAGGGGAAGGCAAGGAAGAGATTGAGAAAGTGACATTTGAAGAGCTGAGGCACCGGGTGGCTTTCTACGCTGCGGCCATGAGGAAGATGGGGGTGCAAACAGGCGACCGGGTTGTGGGTGAGTCGGCTCTCTTCTTCCAGCTCTGCTTCCTTGAACCAGGATGTGCAGATTTAAGATAGGCAGAGCCTTCTCCTTTTTCCCCCTTTTTTAGCAGAACTAACCCTAAGCCAGAATTTTTCCCTCCTGTGGGAAAAGCAAACTCTCCCTAGCTAAGTCTGGGTGTGAACCAAGAACTCTGGTTTGTTCCTTTCAATCAGGGAAATTGTGGCTTATTCTTAGCTTCTTTGAGCCAGAGTTCCTAAATGCTAGATAATGATGAGCAAACAATGTCTAGATGGGGTTAGCCACCTTCGCTTCCAAGTAGGAGAATTCTGGCTTGCAGTTGCGTAGGGAAGAAAACATCTGGCGCTGGAGAGGTTCTGAGTTTTAATCATTCCCTTTTTGCCCCCGCACTGGACGTAAAGAACTCATATTCTCCCCTGCTTCCTTTTATAACTCAGGGAGCGAAACAAGCCATTTTGTTCCTGCTGGTGGGACATAATGGGGGCCTGGAATCAATGTCAGTTTAACACCAGGTCATTCCGAAATCTGCCAGGAATCCTGTCCTTGTTTCCATCCATCCATTCTTGCCTTAAACCAGCGTTTTCCAAACTTGGCAACTTGAAGATGGGTGGACTTGAACTCCCTGGTGCTGGCAGGGGAATACTGGGCGTTGAAGT